CGAACTTCAAATTTCCATTGGACTATTCTTAAAAACCAAATGTTGACCGAAACGGATTTTTCGGAATTTTCATGTTAGTCAAACGTTTGAACGCGCTCTGTCAACATTATAAAAAGCTTAGGGCCGAGTATTCTTTTTACGACATCAAAAAAAGCGGAGAGCGTAAATTAGTTGATAATTTGTGTGTGACAGTGTAAGGCTAAACTTATGTTAAATGTAAGTTAAACACAGCCTAAGTAAATGGAGACAGGTGTCCACGATAGGACCTCTTCGTATTGATATATAGGATAAATATGTGGTTCCTTGTAACGTATAGGAGACGGCTGTTGTTTGGATTACCCTGGAAATATGTAAATCACGTGTGCTTAGAAGCTAATTATACACAGATAAGCGAAGCTTATTCCCTATTTGCTTTTTCTAATTTCAAAACAGTGTCAACAGTTTTCATATTCATTTTGTGGCGGCCAGATAAAGTTTTTACTGATTTGAATAAAGAATGTAAAACTGTCACATGGTTACATAGGCGAGGCAAACAGTACTGTCTTATTTTAACATTGGAATCGCTGCATCTTGATGATGTTTTTATAGACAAAGTAAAGATGATCACGGATGTGTTAAATGGTTGGTAACCGTATTTTGACATGGTGTTGTTAGTTTTGCTCGTAAAGTAGAATTAGCTTTTAATTCTCACTTCATATACGCGCAGTTAGGTAGGTACTAATGTTTAGAGTAAACTAATTGTTAATCATTGAAAATAAAGAATTCCAACTGTTTTCGAAATCCAAAAATATTTTTGTTGCGTCAATCATTAACTTTGCTCGCCACCGAGTTGTCAGTTTGAAATTCGAACAGTGAGCAACGTTCAGAATTCGAAATTCAAATTTGGAAATTAATCAGAAGCCAAACATGGCGGGTTTAAGTAGAGCTTTGGGTCGGTATCGTCTGAAATCAATCTATTCCACCCCCTATTAAGGTTTAATCTTCGGAGGCTGGCTATAACTTAATCCCGAGTTTAGGAGCGGAATAAATAAGCAATAAACCGCTACAGGTGCTTCCAACTGTTTATGTTCATATAGTGCCGCTGACTTCTGCCTCGAACGCGAACTGTATTCATAATTATTGAAACAACCTGAAATGGTTAATTTAAGTCGTTACTTTTAGTTTAACATTATAATTTGTAAATTTTAAGGAATACTAAAAGGCTTTGTGTCAATGATACTACCTATATCTTCCTGGTAGCTTTTTTGTCTTAGTAAGATCGATGTTTTGTTTTAGTACATACGAGTATGTGTTTGCGTTTATTATAGTTGCACTTTATAATAGTTTCTGTATTCCAAAACGAATATATTTCCGCTACTAAAGTACTTCTTTCAATGTGTGTTTTATAAGTAATCTTCTCATAAAACTTTCCCTTCCCAGAATCCGTCTTTTATTACATAATTAATAGAATTTCCCTTATTCCGTTTGACAGATCTTATGGCTTACTCAAGAGAGTAACACAAGTTATCCTCCCATCTTAAATAGGATTAGGAATCAGAGTCGGAGGGAAAAATACCGATCATGGGAATCCACAAATGTCGGCGCGTTGCGTGCTCCTCGCAATAATTGGTACGGCGGCCATTTTCTATTGTATCCGTTTATTTTTCTATCAGCGGTGTGTCGTGTGAGCCGATCATATTTCTTTGCTCTGAGTCACCGCACTGCCGGGGGTGGCTTGCAGCGATCTGAGACCGTATAATCCGTACGAGAGTCGCTTTCAAAATACATTTTGCCGAATCCTGTATTGATTCGTACCTAATCGACATTTTTACTTTTCATAATTATAGGTGAGAGACATAATGTTTATTGAACGCACGCGGTGATTGAATTAATAGATCGATATTAAAAATAACCGTTAATGTCCTAAACAGTTGACAGTGTTTGCATAAACTCTTTTTTATGTCATGACAAGTCGGCGCTTTGACGATACCCTTTGATGGAGATCAAACGCGCCGGCATCGGTCGCCATATTGGTAAAAATAACACATTAAACTATGGAAAACATTGAGTTACCGGCTGTGAAGTTGTCATTGTTATATATAGTCCATTGATGTGTTAATAATAGCGGTAATGAAGACGCGTACGTACGTCATTAAGACTCGCTTCATTTTCTGTGTGTTAGTATTATGATAATAGATTCTCGTTTGTTGCAACTGACGAGATAATATAAACGTTTGTGAAAAAAGAAGACGTTCGATTTACAAATTCAAAAGCAGGGCCATGAGACAAACAAGGATGTTCCTTTTTCAAATGTTATCGAACGTTGTCCTCAATTCCTTGTTGCTAATAATTATTATCAGTAAACTTTTTAGGTGATCTATCATTAACTTGCGTAAGGATGTTGACTGATATCTTCCGTTAAAAAGATCTGAAGGTGATACATATGTGGTAAAAACTTTATTTTATCTCTGTTTATTACCTCCCTATTTTCGCCGAATATCACAAGAACTGTGTCAATTGGTTCGTATCTGATTTTTTAAGATAACATTTCCGTTTCCTTCATTAATTTTGAAATTGATAACAGAAACACAGTTCCATTTCTTTATTCTGATATGAAAAAAAGTTCGTCAGCGATAAACTTATTTATATTTCCCACTGATGACGACAGGAAATTTGAAAAAAAGAATACATCGCTAAACGTTCTCAGGGAGCGATTTCTGTATCAATACTTTGTTCAAACTCGGGGGTGGGTGCTAAATTCCATATCTCGAATCGTTTAGCGAGTAGACGCGACCAAATTCTGTGGGAGTGACATTAGTTGGGCCGCCGCGAAAACACTAGGGCATTCTTACAACGCCAGAACCAGGTACAAAGTTAAAGTACAGATTTTTAAGAATACCTTAATTGTCTTTAATTTTTGGTGTTTCGTTGTTTTCAATCTCGCGTGTGTAATTAATATGAAAATAAAAAAAAAAAATTCAAATCCGGAGAGTGAAACGAAACGGAAATATCACAAAGTCGAAAAACAATTAGGCGGCTATATTTTAAAAATTGAACGACGAACATTTTTGAATCGAAGCCAGTGTTTTCACAGCTTTACCGGGCACCGACCGGGGCAGTGAGTTAATTACTCATGTGTTTTGTTTGAGCGCCACATCCTTTAAACTCTGTTTTTGAGTCGCCATTGTCAGGTTTTATGTGTTGTAGGTACGGTCGCGATTGAGACGTTTCTTTTGTGGTCGTTTTTTTGGAGGGATAAAATATCTTAAGTGTTTTCAGAACCGTGTTTGTAGTTGTAAGTAACGAGTGTTCCACGAACTTTCTTCATCGCGTTCGTTGGACGGTTTTGTAACTCCAATATCACTCGATATGTGTATCATGAGGAGCTCGATGGCGCAACTGGTTAACGCGTTCGGCTGCGATCGTTGAAGTTAAGCAACTTTCTCAGTGGTCGGTCATTGGATGGGTGACCAAAAATTTACTATCTCAAGCTCCTCCGTGCTTCGGAAGGCACGTTAAGCCTTTGGTCCCAGTTGCATCTGCAGTCGTTAGCACCCACAAATCCGCACTGGGCCCGCGTGGTGGGTCATGGCCCAATCTCAATATTACATCCATAGGGAAGGCCTGTGCCCCAGCAGTGGGGACATTAATAGGCTGATGCTGATGATGATGTGTATCATTAGCAAATAACGTATTAATACCGTGGACTTAAATTTTCAAAATGCAAGTCGAGTAAGTACCTCCTTCTTTCTGGTGCATTAAAAAGATCCACGCACGTGTTAATGAATAAGATAAGAGGCTGCTATCACAGTTCGTTCACCTCAATGTTTGTAGAGATTGCTCTGTTTACATGTTGGGAAACATGATGCATGGGCCTTGGGTCTGGTCGAGGACCCGCAAGGCTGCAGTTGAAGATACGACGCTATGTGGCATTGTGATTATTTCCACTTTATTACAACAATAGATACTGTTAGAAGTGTGACTCAAGACTGTTTACCCTATATGAAGTAAAGTAGGTGTTCGGTAAAGCTTGAGGGGATCAGACATTACACTTTTATAGCGTGTTTATTAATGTTGATACTTGCGTAGTGACTACTTTTTTGTCAATACGCGGTACCTTTTAGATATTTTAGATCTATCTCTAGGTGTGTTTCATATAAAGTGGTATCTACGGTGTTAATATTATAGAGGGCGAGAAAGATATATGTTCAAATAACGGCTTTATGTTTAAAACTCAATAGCTCCATTTTAGGGGTGAAGCGTCATATACACTGCAGAATAAAAGCAACATTTAATTCCTACAAGAGTATTTTAAACTACTCTGGCATTTGGTAGAGTTTAACAGCCTTAAGTTACTACTAAACTGCATTTTTAACCACGACTTTTTATAAAAAGACATATCTATATAAATATCTTTCTTAATTTATTTTGTTTTATCAGACATAGTTTCTAACAACCACTTGCGTATTACGAAACGTTAATTAATCATTACAGATAACAGAGGTTCACACCCTTCAACAATAAAGTAAGAAAATAATTATTTCACTTCATAATCTGAGCCAAGCCAACAGCTTTCACAGTGTTAATATTTGCTGACCCTACCCGACACGATAACGTGGCGCCATTGCATCGTTTTATCAACTTGAATAATTATAAACTACTAGTGACCCGATCTCGCTTCGCTTCGATGAAGACTATGGTTTTTGTTTTTAGGTATGTATTATACTTTCTGTTAAAAAATATCTCGCTGGCAGTGGAAATCACAAGAAAATCTGTTCAGTTGTTATTGAGATCATCGCTAACATACATTGAAGACATATATAGAGTTTATTTTATCCAGTAGTATGATACAAATTATGTATGTTGTATAAAAAAGTTTAAAGTTTAAGAAACAAAATAAGAATACTGTTCCAATTTCAAATTACATTACGTATAGATAGTTGAACCTATTAAATGTAATACTTGGTACGCAGAATTTTTGTTCTTTGTTATCGTTCCAAATTCAAACATAGTTTGCTCACCTGATTTCCCGCTTGATGTCATCGTAGTCACGCTGCGTGTCGAGCCTGGCTTCTAAGCGCGCTATGTGTTGTTTCTTCTCATCAAGCCGCTCCTCTAGCCGCTGCAGCTGCTGCGCGTGCGCTTCCTGTAGCGCTGACAGCGACGCTTGCAATCTTCTCACGTCTTCCACTAGTTGAGCTATCTGTGAACAAACGGGAAGATATTTTAATATGGGTAAGGGTATATTTTAATCAACATTGATTACCTTTGTAATCGATTGTTGTCAGTAAATAGACGAAATTTCAGCTGTCAGTGAATTATGATTAAATCTCTTTGACCTGTCTTCAGCAGTTGTAGAAAATTCTGTAGTTGAGATATTTGTAAATTGGTGTTCATGAGAAAGAACAATAGAAAGAAAAGAGATATAAAATATTGTCACTTGCTTTATATTTAGTTGAAAATAACAACACTGCAAAAGAAACTTAAAATGATGGTCTCTGATTATGAGATGATGGAAACAATGACACTTCGCATTAATAATTGGATCCCGAATAAGAATAGGAAAATCCATTAATAAAACTATATTAATTAAGTATATCTAATTAAGTACAACCAAATGCGTCACGCCTCCGCCGTTGAAAAACACTGCGGTATCGAGATAAAGATGATTAGTTTACAATGGTATTATTTCTTTAATTTGATACTTTGCGATAACAATTTTACTTATAAAAGATACCCGAACGGCAAACAATCGCTCCTCGACGCTGTCAGGTATTAAATTTACTGTTCAACAAACATGTTTGAATTAACACGAGAATGCGATAAAGGCTCAAATTTTACTAAAAAGGATTAAAGTTATTATGTCGATGTATATAAATGAGCCGTCGAATCGTTTAGATACGCTCGGATTTTGAAATTGGAATACAAAAGTTTTCTTTTAAATGTCAGTTTAATGTATATACTTGCCAGTGTTCAGAACTAGTTTGAGTTGTATATGAGGAAGTGTTAATCATCGTTTAGACATAACGACGTTAAAAACTGCCACTAACAAAAAAGGCTATTGACAGTTCAAAAATATAATGATAATGAGTACGATATCAGTGTACGCTAATGGGACAAAGCAAAAACTGCAATTGACGCGGCGTTTCCGTTCGACTATTCATAATAGGAACACGTATCGACTCTACCATAGAGTTAAAATAACGCAAAAAGTCAAAGCTAATCTAAACAATACTGGTTCAAATCGTTGAGGTCTTAATACTTTTGCAATCTGTTTCCATACCATCAACAAAAAAAGCATTTTGGCCAGGAACGATTTCTGAGTGCTGATATTGACCTTGTTAAAACCAGACTACAATTTGGATTTTAGATCTTTGTTTCAGGTTGCCGGCAGCAAAGCAAACGTATCATTCCTCAATTTGAAAAATGATGGCAATACTTAATAAATATTTTCGACCTCAGTTTCGTATTAACGTCCAATCATAAATCTATGGTTTGCACGCGCGGCTCACAACCTTGTTGGCGATGGCGGCAAGCTGTTATTTGCTGGCCTTCGGAAGATATCAATTGTGATGGGCACTGGGCAAGCTGGCCGGTCGACCGCGAAGATACCTGTCCGAAGATAGATGCGGCGGAAATCACTTGGTGTGTGTGTCTTGGTGTGTATGCCTTCGCTCGTTCAGCCCCGCCATTTTTATCGGGAACGAATGAGTGAGCGCTACGATCGTCAATTGTTTCGAATATAGATTTTTTTTTCATACAAGTACAAGAAGACTTTTTTTAAAGGAGACGTTTAGAATAAATTTCTGAATAAAAATGGCTATAGCCAATAATTAAATAAAAAGCCGATCTTGCGACCACGGAGCCTGTAAAGAATAATGTAAGAACTAAATAAAAATGCGCTATAAACTCGTTGAAAAAGATTTTTTTATTAAACAATTGGTGAAAACATAACGAATAATTAATAAGGACAAGGAGGTTAAGTTTGAACGGTGTCCAGCTGATGCGGCAGAATAATGTGCCACTCCAACCATCCTTACCTTGCTGGTCTGAACTGAAGCCAACCTCGCGAGGCTTAAATATGTTTCTTTTGAGTGTGTATGCTGTTGGTCGCAGATGACCTTTAGAGCGTCACCGGATTTGGGGACGGCGAGATCCTAAGGGAACCTTAAGCCTAGAATTGGGGAGTGCTTCTAGAGGTATTCCAGGCAAATAGCATCTCAAAAAATATAGTGTCATTTTTATTGATTTATACGTATTATGGAACGCACGTCTCTGTATCTGGAGGTAGGCGCTAATAGCTGTAACGCTAAGAAACTAGTCTAGCTACTAATGAACCTAAATAACACACGTAACTTTATTTAGTTCCAATAAATATATTTTAATTTTTGTTTGTGTACTTTATCTGCAATATCCTTAAGGTGACTTTTTTAGAAAGAGAACGCTTAAATCCGAGCGGAAATTCCTTATCTCTCTTAAATAACAAGATACAGGTCGAAAACTTGTGTTTGTCAAATGCAAAAGTAATTACAGTATATTTGGTGTATAAGTGTGCTCCAAAGTATTTTTTGTTCTCGGCAGAATTAGTTTTAATAGATATTATTACGAGCGCAGTTAAAGTGACTTCTAATTTTCGGTAGCGCCAATTAAAATGATTAATGATTGGCCTGTTTCATAGTTACTTGGGGCGGTGACGTCACACCTAATGACAGATGATCTTTGATTTTCGTTTGGAGGACGTTTGGAAAAAATCATGCAAGTCTTAAGACAGCCGTTTTTAAAATACACTGTATGCGTTTGTGTTAAGGTTGATAATTAAAACTTGAGAGCGCCTTAGCATTAGGGTTGCCAGATGCTGGCTTTTCAATTCCGGGACCCCCCCCCTCCCAGAAATAAAAAATCACATTAAAATATAGGTCAGTAACGAATGCCTTTATATGGCATGGTTCTGTCGCCGCTTGCAGGTTAGTGCGGGTATAGTAAACTGGTGTTTGGGGATTCAGGGACAATAAGGTCTAATTACTGGTCACAAGACGCACAATTCCGGGACAATCCCGGATTTCCCTGCCATTTGGCATCCCTACTTGGCATCGATATCTTCAGTGAATATACGACAGATATTTATATGTATATATATATATATATATATAAGGAGCTCGATGGCGGAACTGGTTAGCGCGTTCGGCTGCGATCGTTGAAGTTAAGCAACTTTCGCAGTGGTCGGTCATTGGATGGGTGACCAAAAATTTACTAACTCGAGCTCCTCCGTGCTTCGGAAGGTACGTTAAGCCGTTGGTCCCGGTTGCATCTGCAGTCGTTAGCACCCACCAATCCGCATTGGGCCCGCGTGGTCATGGCCCAATCTCCCTACTTCTCCCTACTAGGGAAGGTCTGTGCCCCAGCAGTGGGGAGATTAATAGGCTGATAATGATGATGATGATATATATATATATATAAATATAATGCCACAGTAAATATGTTGGTTTAACGAGGCCTTGAACGTCGGAGGCACAGATATGGTCATATACTAGTTATATTATATTATGTAGTTAGTTATATAGAGGAAATTGTACCATACATAATTAATGATGTGCGTGGCCTTCTTCTTTGTAATTTTTTTATTTATTTTTATTATTATTGCTTTTGGTCTATTATTATATAACGACAATGTTTTTTGTGAAGACCTTCTATAAGTTAGTGACTCAATCTTTTTGTCTCGACTTGAAATTAATTACTTTTAAAGATATCTTACAAATAATGCTATCAAGTTTCAGTAACAATAGTTAAGAATAACATTTTCAATGACATGCGCCAATTAATAGTTCTGTTAATGTCTTGATGTCATTATTAAACGGTTAATTAATATGAAAACTTAGGTAAAATAAGCTTAGTATCTATTGAACAAAGGCGTTCAAAGATAATTTTAGTTGATAAAGAGTATAATAGACTAGAATAGATTTCTAATCTTCTACAATTAATAGAAGCTACAGAGAGGTTTCGACTTAAAAATAATGAAAGACAATGAAGTTTGCCGTTACCTAATATAAGTTAACTAGCGGCCCGCCCTCGCTTCGCTTCGGTGTAGAGCTGAAGTGTAGACTACAGTTTTTGTTCTCAGGCTTGTATTATACACAATGACATTCATCTATGATTCTTCTTATACCTGCATGCAAAGTCTCAGCCCGATCGGTTTAAAATTGACAAAGTTTCATACAAACTTTCATTCCCTATTTTATCCCCTTGGGGGTAGCATTGATCAAAATACTTTCTTAGCGAATGCCTACGTCATAACATCTACCTGCATGCCAAATTTCAGCCCGATCCGTCCAGTGGTTTGGGCTGTGCGTTGATAGATCACTATGTCAGTCAGTCACCTTTGAGTTTTATATATATAGATTAATGTTAATTTTACAATGCGAAGAGATTGTGTTGCTTGGCAGCCTAAGAAAGGCATGGCAGATAGGCCTCTTTATGAATCACCCATCTCTGAATGATCCTGGGATCAACTTTCTGAATAATATGTTACTAACTTGCACTCACGACATAATTCGCGTGAAAGTTACTTTTTTGGGAATACCATTTTTCCGGGATAAGAAGTTGCCTATATCTAAATCAGTCTGTGTCCTAGATTTAGATATAAGCAACTTTTTACCCCACGCGGACCAGGCACCAGATGGGACACGAACCCGCACCCTTCGCGAATGCACTGACCATTATGCTACCGCAGCCCTGACGGCCGTGTCGAAATTTCTCTAGGCTTTCTTAGGCTGCAAGGCAGCGCCATCTCTTCGCTTTGTTAAACTTAGATTTAGAAACTTATACTTATCATGCTACCGCAGCCCTGATGGCCGTATCGAGCGATGTGCATGCCAAATTTCATTCACATCCAATTAGCCGTTTTAGAAAGAATAACAAACACCCATACAAACTTTCGCATATATAATACTAGCTGTGCCCCGTAGTGTTACCCGCGGTTTCTTAGGGGTATTTTCTCACAGTAAAACTTAGCCTATGTGTTAATCCAGGGTATCAGCTAGCTCCATACCAAATTTTATTTAAATCGCTCCAGCCGTTTAGACGTGAAGAAGTAACAAACATACACACTCACAAACGTTTGCCTTTATAATATTAGTATGATTATAGGAGTAGGATAGTGAAAAGATGTCTCGCCTCATCATCAGTACAAAAAGCGTAAGCAACAAA